CCCCCCCCCCACCCACCCACCCAAAAAAAAAACAAAAAAAAACAAAAAAACAACAAAACCCCCGCGAAAAAAAACCCCTATCAAAAAGAAAATCGCTGTGTTTGTGCACATGCGAACCAATTGAAGATAAATACTAGAACATATTGTAGACAACAATTACTATAAACATGAAGAGATAACTTGCACCAAGAAACAACTACTCATTCCCATTAGCAATGCCTCAGACTGGGGACAAGTTTAAGACCTTAAATGAGGGAGAAAGCCAATTAATTAAATTGATTTACAACCTTAATCACGGTCGTGAAGGCCAAGGACTTCAACAGCAAAAACAGCATTGTGGGCCACGCTTTATAAACAAAAGACACAATTGAGATGTCATTCTGATCTGAGCACATTGCACCTGCTTGTTTTTAGCTCTTATTATGATTCCAAGAAACAACATTTAGGCTGTAACTTGATGGTTACTCATGCTGTAGCCCAATTCTGATGATTTTTCAAATGGCGTGTAAATTCTGTCCAGTTACCATCTCTCTTCTGTCAGCTTTTATTCCAGTATTTTGGGCCACCTGCAAGTTCAACAAAACGGCAGTTAATTCTTATTTTGTTATATAGATGAATGCTGCCATTATTACTAGTCTGGCACCGTGTAATCAAACTGCAAATTGGAAAATATCGAGCATCGGATGCAGGACATTTACTATAAGCCAGTTTCCCTTTCAATATAATTATCACGACAGAACTTAAACCTATGAAAGTAGCAGGCCAATCTTTGATCTCAAGAGTTCAGATCTCAGATCATTTCTATAGAAACTGAAATTCATCAATTCACTTGTCATCAGATTCTTAATTGACCCTTTGCCTCACAGAATACCTTTTAAACAAAATACCTGTAGAGCAGAAAGTTGAAAAGAATGCATACCAATTGCAATTTTGTGTATCCCCAGTAATGCATCAAGTATAAATCTAAGTTAGGTTGCGATTAAGCAGCCGCTGGAAGGATATATAGAGATCATTGTTATCTGCACCCAATATCTTTTCTGCTTTCTCCAAAGTTTCCTGCATTAAAAGCAAATTACAGGATAACATGTTACCTTGAAAGGAATAACCGCAAATTCAATAGTAATATCTGAAAATTCTGCCCACCAAATCTTCATTCGTAGAGCAAGCAATACTTCTTACCTCACGTGACTGTCTGTGAGCATTGAGCTCTTTAATATTGGCTAAAAATGCTCCAAATTGTTCATATGAGAGACGAGTCCTGAATCCAAAAGAAATTTGTATTATTAAATAGGCAATAACTAGTAATATGGGCATAGCTATCTCGTGAAGTTGTTTTTCTTCGAGAAGTAAAACTCTCGGAAAATATTTACCAACCTAACTTGACGGAAGAACTCTTTTCCATCTATTCGAGGAGCACGTCCTGAGAAAGTAATAACTCGTATGAAGCAACCAATAATACACTCATTCATAAACAATAGCTATTTTGATAGTCCATGGTGGATGAAAGCAAAGTGTACGTGCAAAAATATCAAACTTCGTCTAGGGATGGAACCCTTCTGTACATATGTGTGCAGTAAATTAGACTTCAGCTAGACTAGATTAGCCCAGATATTCTACATGAAAAGGAATAATAAGCATCTGATGCATGGTTGACATTAGCTTATGTCTTGTCCTATCTTGACTAGTATTAGTATCTAGACCCTGGAACCAGGTATATTATGGTAAGTATTGAATTAAACTGACAGCTAATAGATGCTAACCACAGTATTACTATATACTAGTTCTTGTGCACGTGCAATGCACGTGGTTAAATATCAAAATTATTATTTTTTTGTTTATTTTCTTACTATAAAATAAGTCAGATTCATTTTGAATTAAAATCTATAAACATGGTTTGTTACATTTTCCATAAATTTTATTTAAATATTTTTAAATATTTTATGAAATAGATGATTAATTTTGAAAATATCTTCGGGCTAGGAATAAATAACTAAAAAGTTTGCAAGGGAAGATAGGGTAACATAGTACATTCTTAAGAATTATTAATCTTTATTTAGTTTGTTTATAATGATAGGATCTCATTATTAACTAACTACAATGCTTAGTACATTATTTTTTTGTTGAATGCTCAAGGCAGGCAAAGAACCCATGTGAGTCCTCATCGCAATGAATGTTATACAATTTAAGTACAAAGGAGATGGAGAATGGTGTAGTTTGTGAGGGGAAACTCCAGCAGCTTAATTTGATATGTAGATATATAATAGATAGAGATGGAGAATGATGGTTTTGAAAATAGTGGGTGGGTGTGGGTAATTAATATGGTTTTTTTATGGTTTTCTTCGTTCATTTTCAAGATATCTGTAGTCCTGTGGATATATATATATATATATATATAATATATATATATATATATATATATATATATATATATATATATATATATATATATATATATATATATATATATACTTTGTGATCTAATAAAACATACAATATAAGTAATTGCTTTAAAATAATCTAATCTAATCTAATACGAAGAAAATAGATGAAAATGATGTGAAAATTGTTGCAATTTCATAATTCATAATTTTTAAAAACCTAATCTAATCTAATCTAATAAGAAGAAAATAACAAAATCACATATATGTTGAGGGAGATAAAAGTACTATGAAAATTGTTGCAATTTCTAATCTGAAAAAAATCAAACATACAATATAATTAATTGCTTTAAAATAATCTAATCTAATCTAATCTAATAAGAAGAAAATAGATGAAAGTGCTGTAAAATTTTTTGATATTTCTTGATATGAAAAAAAAAATCAAATATACAATATAATTAATTGCTTTAAAATAATCTAATCTAATCTAATAAGAAGAAAATAACAAAGACAAATACATATAGAAGGAGATAAAAGTGCTACGAAAATTGTTGTAGTTTCTTGGCATATAAACATTGGTATGTGATGTTGCATGTGAGAGAAAAATAATTGTAAATAGAGTTCTATTTAAATAATAATAGTATAATTAAACTTTAAAACTAATTATGTAGTATCGTGAACTACTTGAATTTTAGTTGGTGAGAGATCGCCAAGTTGTGTCTCTTTAATTTTGTTTGGTAGATTTTGCAAATACTCCGTCCACATTATGCACATTTGTAGGTCTGCGTTGTTTTGGGGTTCGACCTATGCAGCAGACATTATTTGACTCACTAATTTGTTTGGTTTTTGTATATACGCCATTCATCTTGTATATATTTATAAATTTGGCATTTAATAAATTCATTTAGGTTTATATTTTAATTTAAACTATATCATTATCTTCATACTATGTATATCCAATAAGAATTCATCAATTTATCAACTTACTCTTACTTAATGGATTAATTTGAATTTCAATGGTTTTTTTGTCTACCAAAAGATTTTCCCGAACTCGTGCTTTTAAAGAGAGTATGATATGATTGATTTGACCTAGTATTTGTTATGTGAAGAGTGGGAGAGGGGGGACCTGGGAAAGAGATTATACACGGAGTGAAATGAAACAGATGGACGTTGGAGGGGTTTGTGATAATTTGTTGGATGTATCAAGAGGAGCTCACTTGTCAAAAGTGTTAATACACGAAAAGAAGCTTTCCAAACTGCTGATTTTCTTCTTTATGAAATGTTTCCATTAGAAGAACATCAAATTTTCACTCCTTAGAATATCTAAGTTTTGTGGAGACCACTTAAGGTAGAATTAGAGAAGTGTGAACTATTTTCTATCTTGGTATGTGTATCTTTGCCACTATAACCTATTAAAGTTCGAATAAAACATTTTATCTATGCCTTTATATAAGTGCACATAAACACCAAGTTATTGTTAACAATTTGATTATATAACGATTAATTTATTAATTTAATTAGAGTTACATAATTAACTATTTCAATTTTTATTTAAAACCACTCTAGATGAGATATAAACGTTATATGTAGCTAACAAGCACTAAAAATGTTTAATTATAATCTTATACTATTAAAAATCTAATGTTTAATATAATTTTGTACTATTATAATCTAATTGGAGTTGCATTATTACATAAATATTAATTCCTATAATATATTAAAACATCATACACTTGATAATCTAATACTATTATAATAATTGATTTATTCATTTAATAATCTTAAGAATAGCTATACTATAGTATAAACACTTAATTAATTTGATTTAATAAGATTGGGAGTTATGATCATAGAGTAAATTGGTTAATTTCATGAAAGATGAAGGGTATTTAGATTGGGAGTTATGATCATAGAGTAAATTGGTTAATTTCATGAAAGATGAAGGGTATTTTTGGGAAATAAAAGTTTTTCTAGTACTCAGAGTAAATTGGTTAATTTCATGAAAGATGAAGGGTATTTTTGGGAAATAAAAGTTTTTCTAGTACTCCCTCTTTTAAAGGGAGAATGATTTGTGGCAGGATAGTCTAAGCAGTTTGCTTTTACCATTTCTGATTTCTGTCTATGTACATCATATCTGGAAATTGGGAATAAATTCATCAAAACGCCAGATAACTTTAATATTAGTTATTTTAACTTCTGGTCATCTATTTTATAGTCTTGCTTTTCAACTCCCGGTAAGTTTTAAGTAGATTCTCCTTTTTACTATTTCCGGCTAAAACGGTCATAGATATCTTAAATATTTTTAATGTTTCACTTTTGAGTCAGGGACTCCACAGTTCTACTACATGATATTCGGTTCGTGATTAGTAACCTGAAAGAGAGAGACCAGTAGGAGGTGAGGATGATGTAGACGACTGCTGACTTGAAGTTGACGTATTCAATGATGACACAAAAGAGTGAGCTTCAAAGCAAGACTTTGTTGGTGATGCAGAACCAGACCAGAACTTTGGTGATGAACCGGCAGTTGAAAAGCCCCTTGGGGAAACACTAGTTGATGCTATTGGCGTAGCAGCAGGAGTGAGTCGTGGAGTAATATATGGAGACACAGACAACTTATTTGCTGAAGACCCTGGACCTGTTGGCATATACAGATGTAACTAAAGTCACCTCCAGCAATCGATAGCGTTTAGCCTCCAACATATGGATGGTTAAATTAATACATACCTTGAATTGGGTCGCCAGTTTCTGTACATACACTGACAAGACCCAATCCTCTGCGGCTGATGGATGCCTCGTCTTCAATGATCAAAAAGCAATAATACCATTGAGGTATAATTATAGAACAGTCAGAAACAGAAACTTGTAAACATATAGAAAATAATATTTATAAAGAATTTCGTTTAAAAATAGATAGAGGCAAACTACTAATCGATTGGAAAATAATGCTGTTGATATACCTTGCCACGAAGAAATTCTGGAAGTGGATTGATCACTGGTTTCCATATCAACTGATTCTGCTGGTTGCTGGGAGAAACACAATAGAGTAAGAAAAGAAGAAAATTTTATTTTTCTGGTAATGAATGGTTAGATAGAGAGGAATAATTCCAGAACAAGGGGTTTAGAAAATAAATTGAGAATTTCTAGATGGCTCAAACTTACAGATGAATTATCATCATTAAGAGATTGCATCAGTTGCCTCTTGAAAGTCTCCAACTATCAAACATGGGTTCAGTTGAACAATCCGAAACATGGATATCATCGTCAAGAATAACTTCAAATAATAAGATTGTAAAGATTTCAAAAAATAAAATAACATCACGATAAGGTATCGTAGCAGTCGTATCAAAGTATCAAGTGTTCATTCTGTGATTTCAAAGGCTGTTATTATTATACATTTGAAATATATATTCTTGAAACTATTTATGCATACATAATTTATTACATGCGCATCTGATTGACCAAAGCCGTTAACTTTAGACGCATGCCAGAAACCTGTTTTCCTATATTATGGTATTCACATGTGCTAACTGACTCCCTCAGGATCGACTAATCACCTACCTATCATCTGTCTACTTCAGAAGTATCTGTTGGCTGGTTGTGTCTGGAGGCAATCCTGCTGACCTATGTGTTTTGGTTCTCTTCTCTTGCTTAAGCTAGAATTCAGATGCATGGCATAAAGCTCTGTATGTCATGGCATTTTAACTAAAATAAGAAATACTCTAAACTCCGTTGATCTAGGTGCTGATGAATCATTAGCCTAAAGTCTGTTAGCCTAACTGCTGATGAACCATTACAAGTTGATCTAATTGCTGATGAATCATTACAAGTTGAAAAGAAGAATATATAGTATATAGTATATCTCAAACATACAGGATATCTGTAATTGCAAGGTTTTAATTGGTTAGATGCATGAAGAAACTAACTTATGAACTCGCATTCTTTTTCCCCCTTTTTTTATTTTTTATTTTTTTAAAAAATTGAAAAATCCTCGAATTTCTTGGGATTGCTAAAACTACGCGAAGAATTAAATTTTGCATAGTTCAACTCAGAACCTTGACTCATCAATCGCCAATCTCATGCATCAAAAAAGTAAACTTTATACCACTACAAAGGGTCTCAAAAGTAAAAGAAAACCCATACCTTTGAGAGATCTTTTCCCAATTTCTTGGAAGTAAGAGCCAGCGTATCTCGCTCCTTCATCAACTTCGCCTTCAAGGAAAAAAAAATCCAACCAAAATTAAAACAAAGAAAAAAATCAACTTCAAACCCAAAAAAAAAAACAAAAAATCCAAGAAAAATTCTACATTGTCTTCGAGAGCGATCCTGAGCCGCGCTTCGGAATCTCGAAACATCCGATCGAGCTCTGCAATCTGTTCTCGGAGGTCGGCGATCGTCCGATCCTTCTCTGAATTCTTCTGTCTTAGTCTCCCCGCCTCCGATTCGAGCTTGGAAACCCTAGACGCGATCGCCATGGACGTGATCCTGCGAGCGAGATCCAGTTGATCGTAAGGATCGGTTGGGATCACAGAGAGGATCTCGTCGGGGAGGTGGAAGTTCGAGCCATTTTGAGCCATAAACCCTAACCCTAGAAGAAAAAAATTTCTCACCCTTTTTTTTTCTTAATTTTGGAGAAAGGAGACGAAAAAAGAGGGAAGGAAAGGAAGTAGGTAGTTTCAGTCGGGTTTAGAAAGTTGATGTTTTACATATTAGTCCCTGTAGACTTGACATTTGCGAATGTATTATATTACAGGCTTCTCCCTCGAACACATTTTTCATTGTGATAAAGTAATCTGTGTATTGAAAGAACATTAGAGGAAATGATCCGTAACAGTGGACGGGCAAAACAAAAAATCGTGATTTTTTTTTATTACACCCCCAACTTTGTTCATCAAATGCACGAATAAAAAAAAACATGGTTTTTATAAAGAAATCATTTAAAAGTTGTCACCATGTTGTTGCATGATCTGATTATAATCGCAATTTCTGAAAAGATAATTGCATTTACGAGATGATCGCTGTTCATTATATCGCGGACACAGCGAAGAGGCTCATTGTGTCCTATTATGATAATGCAAACAGGCTCCAGCAGGCAGCAGCTGCGGCTTTCTAAAAATATTTGTATTATAATAAGATAACAGGAGTTATTAACAAGGACAACTAAGCAAAGATGCCTTCTAAATGATCACAACGTTGATTGCTTTGCTGGTCACTGATAGTTCCGTGAAGGCAATGATCTTCATACAACTTTAACGTGACACGGACTCCGTGTCTCCGTCACATCTTTAATGATCAACTAACTGTCAACCCACGTTTAATCGGTAAATATCAAGAATTACAGAAGTAGCTCGAGCTATGTGAGAAGTTTGAAAGAAATTGTTTTCGAAATCGGTACCCTGCTCGTCGTCGTCCGTTTGGGTGTCTCCGATCCTCATCCAGTTGAGGAATCAAGGTTGTCATGTTGTTAATCCCGTGTATATCAACAAATGAAGTTGAAGCTTGTGCAGGAATTACCTTTATTGCACCACTATCAGTTTGTACCCAGGGTTGAGGGAAATACCTGTCGAACTCCGAATCATGAAACATCTCGATAAAATCTGAATCTCTTCCTCTCTACTAACATATTCATAGAACAAGAATGATCTCTGAGCATATAAATAACAGAATTTATTTGACACATCAATAGTTCACAGATAATCATACGAGGAAATGACGAGACTTCCTCTTTTGGAGGAAAGCCTAAGAAGATTCATAGAGAACAGAACAGCAATTGACAAAATTAGATTAGTAGGTATCATCTTAAGCAATGAATTTGAGCAGTCATTCTGTTAATATCAGATGCATAATCAATCTCTAGATTTAGACCAAGTCGATTTGCTCAGATGAACATATTCTATTAAAAAACTGTGCAAAATATTGTCAACTATGACATATAGACAATCATTCATATACCTCCTCTTTTCACATTACAAAACATATATAGCCAATAAAGAATAAACAAATCAAGAATGAAAATGCAAAGTAATAGCTGGTACTTGACTCCCTTTTTCTAGGCTGAAAATATGAACCGTTGTTTATCAGCAGGCCATGGCGTAAAAGGCTGTACATATAAATTCCCAACTCAACTCATGCACGCATATGAGAAAGTGGGACGAAGTTCTCGGGGGCCAATTTCTGGGATCAGAAGAAATACAATTGTGAACTTTTTGTTACATGTGCATTGATGCGTATTCCACCAAAAGTTGTAGGAACTCTTTTCAATTAGCTAAGCACTATGTCACATTATGAATGTCAGGGACGGTTAGTCTGTGTCTCCGCCATTACCTGCCCCGTAACGAGAACATAATTAGGAAGGATAATACCAAAAAATAAAATAATCTGGAAAAGGGATTACGAGGCAAACTTTTGTACTAAAGGACGTAGAGATTTCCCAAATATAACTATGTAAGTGAAATACATTGAAACAATGAAGTAGAAGTATTTAATGAGATAAATTTAAATATCATCCAAATTATTTGTGATCAGATTGGTGGATTTTACGCATGCAAAGGCTAAACCAGGTGCCTGCTCAAGCTTTTGTAACTTCTTTCTTAGAACTTTCAAGGTCTGTAGATACTTTGTTCTTCCTATATTCATTCAGTTTACTAACACTCTTACTCTTAAATAAGTTCGAGCACTGCTGCTTCTTGGGGCTTAGTCTTTTGCATCTGCAATTATTCATACAGGATATCTGTCCTCTTATTAGTTTCTCTGACATGTTAGCCTACTTCATATGACTCTTAGCCTCTTGCACCTTCATTAACATATTCATTCCACAGTTAGTCCTACTATGCTTGTTTGTCATTCAAGATATTCTACTCTCTTTCTTTTTTTTTTCTTTTTTTTTGGGGGGGGGAGACCACCCACATTGTAGACATCGTTAGTTGCTTAGGGTGATTAGCAATCGTACATGTTATATTGTTATCAATTAATTTAGACATGAAGAGACTAATGCCAGTGTACTGTATACTGAGAAGTTTACTGCTGGACCGAGCTATTCAATTCTGTCTCTCTAAGAAGGCAAATGAACCAAATTGATGTAAATTACATCAGGTTTGGACACAGGTATCAAACATCTCGCTATTCACCGTTTTGGTAAAGATATGATAGGAGACTGAACTGTGGAGCTTGCATAAGAAACAGAAACCTACCAACTATATAGGATAAAATAGAGAATCTCACATGCTTCTGATTGAAACAAAACAGAAATTGAATATTAACAGTGAAAAAGAAAAGGAAAGAAAAATCTCTAACTGTATTGTGCATTTGTACCTTGAATCTTGAAAAAGCCGCCATACCATGAAACAAGCACTCTTTCACAGGAATTATTAAACTGCAAGCAAAAGGTCACAGAAACTGGTAAATTTTATGATTTATTTGAATATAGTCAGAATATTAACAGTATGGTCAGAAGTGTATCACCTGCAAGCACACGTGTCCAGAAATTATGAATAGCAATCATCTTTACCATCAAAATAGCATTTCAACAGCACATGAGCCGAAGGCTCCCCACTAGTTTTAAGGGGCATGAGTAACTAAGCTCAAGTCACACTCTTGGGGCGATGGCAAGGCCAAAAAATGCTCCAGCGTGTTAAATCATGCAGAACATTTACAAGCTTATTCATGACGTAGTTGTTCAAGAATAGTTTGTGTTCAGTAGAAATCATGAAAACAGCTCAATATGCTAAGTCCCACCATCATCATTCATGGTGCCCCGTAATGTAGAAGCAGCTTCCTTTCTATGCCTAACAGAAGACATCCCATCAACTAAAGTAGTATATGAAACCTCATCCAACACCAACCCTCTTTCAGACATCTGATCAGATATCTTAAAGGCCTCGTCCATCCTACCTTCACTGGAAAATCCAGACATCAATGTGTTATAAGTGATCCGGTCAGGATCAACACCATTAGCCACCATCTCATCTAAAAGCTTAGTTGCTTCACTCTGATTCCCGATTTTACAGTAACCTTGCATCAAGGCAGTGTAAGTAATCTTATTTGGTCTTAAACCACCTGCACACATTTCCTCAAAGATATTGCGTGCTTCGTTCATCTTGCCTATCTTACAATAGCCATCAATCAGGATGGTATAGCATATTACATTCATTTGCAAACGACTTTCTCTCATTTCATTAAGGACAATTTTAGCTTCTTCTACTTGACCAACACTGCATAGCCCATGCATAAGGGCAGAATAGGTTACTGCTGTTGGAGAAACGCCTCTGGTTTTCATTTCAGCAACAATGTTAAAAGCCTCTATAATATTACAACCTCTGCAGTGCCCTTGGAGAAGTGAATTATAGATAACAACATTGGGCTCTAAGCCCGAGTTCCCTAACTCATCAAAATAGATTTTTGCCTTACCAACTTCTTTAGCCTTGCAATAACCATCTATTATCGTACTAAAAGTGTAAAGGTCTGGTTTCAAATCCTCTTTCTTCAAGAGCCTTGCAATAACCATCTATTATCGTACTAAAAGTGTAAAGGTCTGGTTTCAAATCCTCTTTCTTCAACTCATTCCAAAGTGCAGCAGCCTCTTCCATTCTGCCCAAATCGCATAAGCCCCGCATCAGGGTATTGTATGTGCATATATCAGGCTTTATACCTTTTTTAACCATCTCCTCCCGAAGCAGAAGCCCTCTTTCAATTTGCTTTTCTTTGCATGATCCCAATATCAAAGTATTATACGTTATCTTGTCCAGAGTCACTCCCTTCTCAAGCATCATTTTGAGAAGACCAACAGCCTTTTTCATATTTCCGGACTCACAAAGACCATGAATCAGTGTGTTCGAAGTGATAGTGCTCACACCAAAGCCTTTCTCCAACATTCTATCCCAAACATCAATCGCGTCCTGATGCTTACCATTCTTGCACAATTCTTCAACCATCATTGTCAGTATGGAATCTTGCGGTCGTAAATTTCTAAACAACATCTCCTTAAAAAGCCTCACGGCCGAATCTAACCTCTTCTCCTCCTTCACAAGCCAAACAATAACCAAACTAAACAAACCTGCATTCACCTCAATCCTCTCTGTCAACATCTCTTGCAACAAAATCTCTGCCTGGCTCATCTCGCCAGCTTTACAATAGCCTCTAGCAATAACATTACACGTAACTGAATTTGGCCTCAACCCTTTCGACAACATCTCATCCCTCAACCTCAAAGCCTCCTCGAACCGTCCCATTCTACAATGCCCATCAATCAAACTATTATACACAAACTCATTCGCCACAATCCCCTTTCCCTTCATCTCCTCCAAAACAACACCCACATCCCCAAATCTATCCAATTTAACCAACCCGTTAATCAAAATCCCGTAAGTAACAATGCTACCCTTCAAACCATCTCTACCCATCTTCACCTTCAACTCGAATGCCTTATCAACCATCCCCTTCTTACAAAACCCATCCATTATTGCATTGTACGTGATCACACCAGGCTTCACTCCTTCCCTCTCCATCTCCTTACAAAACCCATCCATTATTGCATTGTACGTGATCACACCAGGCTTCACTCCTTCCCTCTCCATCTCCTCAAACAACCCCAACGCCTCCTCAACCCTCCTACACTTACACAACCCATCAATGATCGGCGTGTACGAGTATACATCCGGGCTCACAAATTTTCGCATTTCATCAAACACTTGGCGTGCATTATCAATCTTACTGAGTTTCACTAAAGAAGATATCAGCACATTACAAGTTTTCACTGACGGGCATACTCCAAAGCTGATGAAAGACCTGAAAGCGATCAGAGCGCGGGTTAAGCCGTCGCATTTGAACTGGGTGCAGCACAAGTGCAGCAGGAGGTCGGGACACGTGTCGGCGACCGAGCGGACGAGGTCAGGAAACGGGCGGCTGGGATCGTCGATGAGGCGAATGAGGTGTAGGCGGGCGGCGGCGAGGAGGTTGGAGGAGAGGAGAGAGTTGAGGAGGAGAGAGTGAGATTTTAGGGACACTTGGAAGTGCGATCCAACGGCTGAGATCAATCGGAGGAAGGGTTTGGGCTTGATGGACGGCCTGATTTGATCAAGGAGATGGTCGAGGCGGTCGGAGGTGAGATGGGAGAGGGTGCGGGATAAGAGGCGAGGGGTCCGGGGTCGGTCGGGAGCGATAGTAGGAGGGTGAGTCTCGTGGAACGCAGGAGAGAGGGTTGACGTGGCCGGATGGTACTGGGCGGGGGACGGTGGAGGAACGGATAGCAGCGAGCAGCCGGACGGGGGCGGGCGTTTTCATGAGGTTTTTGGGTTGGCGCCGCCCCCGGCGAAATGAAGGAGAGAGCTTTGAAGAAGAAAGACTGGGGTCTGTGGGGGATTGAATCTGGACCGTTGGATTTCGGGTATCGGAGGGGGAGAAGGTGGATCCGAAAACGTTGGAGGGTTTTGGGCCAAGAGTTTTCAGTTAGTTGAGAGGTTTTAGATCTGAATCAGTGTTTAATAAATGAAACACAATATTTTCTTAACAAATGCAAAATAAATTTTTTTTTT